ATTACGTGCAACTTACGAAGAATAAATGTTTTGTAATAGCACTTTTCTTATTGCCTTGTGACTAACAACAATATTAAATAGCTTCTTCAGACCTAATGCCAATGATCTTAAGGAAATTCAAGGATTTTTATCAATTTTTCGCAATACTCTTCTTATATGGCGATCAGACAATGGTTTAATACGGTGGCCTGCTGGTTTTAAACTAATGCAATCCTAATTTTCTGTTTTGTTTATGATATTATTAATTGTTCTTAACCTAATATTAAACATTAGACTTTATTCCTTAGCAGATTTACCGAGGTAGTAATTATAACATAATAACTCAATATTATTTGAATTTGTTCTTTTACAGGCCATATTTAATCACGTGTATTCTAGTTATTCCTTCACTTAAAACACTCTACTTTATTAAATAACAAAGAAATTGAACAGTTTTTGCAGAATATTATAACAAACAGAAAAACCCAGACACATCTAACGGTATTCTGTCCCGTTAAAAATAAGAAATTGCAAAATTGCAAACACAATGTTGACACAACAAATTTGGTGTTATTTTTGTTTTTGTGAATTATTTTATTGTTCTAACGATATTTTTGATTAATTTTTAGTTTAATATAAAGAAAAATGTTTAAATTAATTGTAAACTTTTTAATTTTTTTTTTATTTCAAAATTAAATCGTTTTTATTGGGCATTTAACAAACATTTGTAACATTTTTTCGTTTTGCAAACACAATGTTGACAAACTGTATATATATTTATATATACATACATGTATTTATATACACATGTATTTATATACACATGTATTTATATACACATGTATTTATATACACATGTATTTATATACACATGTATTTATATACACATGTATTTATATACACATGTATCTATATACACATGTATTTATATACACATGTATTTATATATATATATATTTATATACACATGTATCTATATACACATGTATTTATATACACATGTATTTATATATATATATATTTATATATATAGATATTATATATATATTACTGATATATATATATTTATATTTATTATATATATTTATTATATTTATATTTATTATATATATATATATTTAATATATATATATTTATATTTAATATATATATATTTATTTTAATATATATATATTTATATTTAATATATATATATATATATTTATATATATATATATTTATATATATTTATAAATATAAATACAGATATATAACTATAAATATATATATACATATATAAATATATATGTATAAATATATATGTATTAATATATATTTATAAATATATATGTATTAATATATATGTATAAATATATATGTATAAATACATATGTATAAATATATATGTATAAATATATATGTATAAATATATATGTATAAATATATATGTATAAATATATATGTATAAAATAATATATATGTATAAATATATATGTATAAATATATATGTATAAATATATATGTATAAATATATATGTATAAATATATATGTTATGTATAAATATATATGTATAAATATATATGTATAAATATATATGTATAAACATATATGTATAAATATATATGTATAAATATATATGTATAAATATATATGTATAAATATATATGTATAAATATATATGTATAAATATATATGTATAAATATATACGAAAATACGAGAGCAATATGCTGGAGTATATCTTCGTTGCTCGAGTAGGTTAATTGATGCGTAGTGATTATTAATTTAAAGGTACTCTTTTTGAAAACATATATGTATTCAAATCTGAACTCTTCTTTTTAGGTGGTAAACAATTTATTTAACATTAATTTTTCTTTAATGATGCGTATATGTAGATGGAAAGGTATGTGAAGATTTATAGAAACAAAAAAGAAAAACAAATAGATATTTAGTTGGTTTTTTTGTAAAAGAAATTTTATTTTGAATTTACCGCTCTAAGTGGCATCTTAAAGTTAGCGGCTGCTTGCAACTGAATTTGATAGGCTAAACTATGAATCTTAAAGCCGTATAATCTAAAAATAATGTATATAGTACAAAAATCAGTACGATTCTATTTCATTTACCTTGGAACAAACTGATTAGTAGGACGCTTAGGACGATATTCAGGATGAACCATAAAAAGCATATGAGGAAATCCTGTGCCGAAATATGCACCATCTGTATGATGATGGCGTGATGATTTTGGAGTGTAAACATCAATACATTTTGGGCAATATGTTTTAACCATAGCTTCACCTGGTATATCAGAAAGACCTACAAAGTTATCGTTTATGCAACTTTTTATTTTGATTGAACTACCTTTTTAATTAAATGTTTTTTTTACAAATTGATATTTTTTTTCTTACGTACCCAATGGCAACATAGGCTGGCTTTCACAATATACTCGTGGACAATGACCAAAATCACCAGTTTGATATTTTTCGATCATTTGTGCAATCCCACGATTTGTAAGGATGTAACGAGCATGAATTAATCCATAAAGCATTTCTGCTGCTTGTTCTGTCATATCTGATTGTACCGCATTATCTTCAAGTTCATCCTCTGCCAAAACAAATAATATATATAGATTTCTATAACATAACACCGATAATACCTGGTTCTAAATCGAGAATCATATCAAGGGCTTGCCGATAATTTGGCACTTGCTCATTTAAGCCAGTCAAATTAAATTTATCTTGAATGTAATCTTCATCAACCTAGAATTAGGAATGAAAATCTGCTTACTTGCTTGAACAAAACATTATTAGATTAAAAAAGGCAAAAAAGAATTTATAAATCAGACGCATTAGGTTTATGTTCACGTACTGAGGAAGCATTTAAATTTTTTATATTTGACAAATTCAAACTAATTCATTGGATATTAATTTTAAAATTGTATCAAAATTTGCCACTATTACATTTTAAATATAGAGAACCGCAATACTGTTTTAAGCAGAATATTTTTATTTACATGGATCAATACCACTTAATCTCGATATTATATACCGTTAAGATGTGTTGATTAAGCAATAAATTTTTTTGGTTTACTATTATTTAGTTATGACAATATTTAATTTCACTTACTTCACAAAAAAACTCATTGCCGCGCAATCCGCAAAACCAGGTAACCCAAGAGACTTCCTCAGAGCTGCTCATTTTTCTAAAGTTAAAAAATATTAGAAATTCATATATTATATTTCAAAAAGCAAGTACATTTTTCATACATGAAACAGAATATTTTTGCTAAAAAGTAGTCTTTCAGTAAATGAATACAGAAGTTTATAAGCTGTTAGAAGCGATTAGATTTCTTTTTATGGCGTGCCAAATACGTTTGGCAGATAACAAAACTACATTCTTTTAATTATGTATGTAATTCCTTTTTCACAATATTTCACCTTTTACCCATTTAGATTACAGAAAGCGGTAATAAATAGATTTAATGTCTTCCAAATACTTAAACCAAAATGGCAAACCGCTTGAAAGACAAATTGGTGAAAAAAAAATTTCTCATAATTTTTCCTGGTTATAACTTGCCTTAGAAACTTTTTCGTAATCCGGTAAGACAGACTTTATATTATAATTTCTATCCTTGTTATTTTGAACAATTCTCTTTTACATAATGCATTTAACAAATTAATTAAATGTATACATTTCCACTTACCTTTTAACGCTTTGTCTAGCCACGCTTATAGGAATAGAATGAAATATCGATTCTTCTACAGTCGATGATATTTTTCGTTGTATAATGTTAAAATGAAATACAAAGATATACCTTGTCAACTAACAAAATTTATAGTACTGCCAGCAAAAAATAAAATATTTTTATCAAGAAAACTCACTAATAAACGTATTTAGCATGCTATAATCAATATGTCTAAAGTTTACATTTTTTAATGAATTTCAAATTTTAATAAAATATTTAGTCCAATTCATTTTGTCACATATATGAAATATTTAATATATAGTTATTAGTTATTAATTAATAAGTTATAATCGTTATTTGAAAGTTTAAAATTTAATAAAGCTACTAAACAAATTGTTATTTTATTTTTTTAACTTTATACGGCGTTTACATTGGCCGAAAATGGCTCATTTTGGATGAGTCATTTGAAAGTGTTTACATTCGTTGTATTTCATTTTTTCTCATTTCAAACAGCTGATTTTTCAACTTGCATGTTGATTTAATTTTTGGTCTGTGCCAACAAAATGTTACAGGAAGGTTAAATATACCTTCAAACCTTATAATATAAACTGAAAACTTGTTTCTAGATTCGATTTATTTATTTTTGGGAAGTAGAAGTTCCAAAAATTGGTGCATCGCTTTAAAGAAAATGCAACCACAAAACATTTGTTTATCTTTTTTTGTAAATATGTCAAAGCAGCTTTTTCAAACTGTCAAAATGCCATGAAGAGCTTTCATTTAGGGTATGTTCAATAGATTCCTTTGCATTTGGAACATATGTGGAATGCATTCGAACGTCATTCATACAGAATGTGAGAAAATTGCTCATTTTGTGCTTGAAATTTTATATGCAAGAATGAGCCATTCGATACTCATTTTCGATTTTTGACCAAAATGAGCCATTTTCGGCCAATGTAAACGCCATATTAGAAAGACTGCATGTAATATTTTCTCTAACACTATTTCATGACACATTAAATATATATACATCAAACATCTACATGGATTATTCCGTTTATTATTCAGATATCTTATTAAGTAAATGAATGCACCTTTTTATTTTTATTTAGCATTAAAATAATTAAATGCTTTATAATTAATATAACATATATATAAATAATATATACCTAATGCAATTTTCTTGATTTATATACACACATGCAATATTTGCTGTTTGTGAAAACAAAACATTCAACAGATTCCAACAGAGAGGTCAACAGTGCCTATTATGGATTGTCGATCGCTGATAGACAGTAGAAAAATTTCTATTGCTTGTAAAAAATATCAAATTTTGGTATTATGAATTGCAAACCGATACAAGTTTTTCCATCAGCGGTAGATAAATTTCTCTACTGCGTTTGAGCAGAAGAAGTTTGTCGATCGTATAAAATAAAAGCTGTTAAAACGCTTTATACAGTCAATTTAACATATAAATTTAATATAATTTTAATATTACTAATTTAATAGTTAGTAATAATTTATATAGCTTTAATATAATATATCATTTAATATATCTAATTTCAAGTTTAATGTGTTATATGTATATTAGTATAACGATTGTTGCATTTTTTTCTTTTGTTATTTATTTATATGTATTTATTCAAATATTTTCAACATACAATCATTTTTCAAATTTCTTAGATATATTTTTCAACGAATAATGTATTTATATAAAATCAAGAAATAATAAAATTCTACATATTATAAATTTAATAAATTTTGTTGTAGGGCAAAATTGATGAGCAATAACAAGCAGATAGTAAAACTTGTTGCAAATATAGAGAAATATCCAGACATTGCGAAAAGCATTTGCAATAAGTCACATACCAGACCACCGCTATCACCAATTATATATTTATTTTCACATTGTGTAAAAAAAAAAATCATAATTATTAAATAAAAAAATTTTTTAGATGCCCCTGAAGATGTTGGAAAATAACCAACGAAACGTCGGGTGAAAAAATGAAATAAATTGAATTTTTATTTGCATCCTAGTAATAAGACCAGAGTAGCCAAATGAAAATTAGAACTTAAAAAATAATATGTACTGATCAAAACTTCATTATTAAATATATTTATTTTTAGAATATTAAAGTTTAATTTTAATATATTACTAGCTTATTAATGTAATGTAATACTAAATAATAATTTCGTATTAATAAAATATATTTTTATTTATTTACAAAGAACTTGAATTCAATTTTAATGTTTCTTAGCGAACACAATCAAACAAAATTAATTCGATTAAAGCTGCACGATCTAAAACCCACATATCATTCACAATAGTGCACATGGCTGTCCATCAAAGAATACCTTACAAGAACGGCAACTCCATTGTGAACAAAAATTTGTTTTTCCGCACAACAACAATTTGCGGTAGAGCTCTTGAAAGTGTTAGTGAAAAGTGCACTAACACCAGCTGAAATCACTGAAATTTTTCACCTTTTCACCTTTTTCCGATGCTTCGAGTACTTTTGAGAACGGAATATTTCGAAAAGTTTACCACGAAGAGTGTAAGAAAGAGTGTGGTTTTGTTTTTTGGTTTTGATTTTTTGAGAGTAATATAAAATTTCGTTGCGCCAAATCATACAAAATTTGCCGCGCAAATATTTAACAAAAAGTAGTTAAAATTGAAAGTAGTAGCATATTGTGTTATTACTGTATAAAAAATAATAAATTGTGACAATAAAGATCAGTATTTATATAAAAAGATGGGGAAAAAATGTATTAAAGGTTGTAAAGAGTTTAAATCCCTTTATAAATTCCCGGACAACAATGAGGAACGAAGGTAAACTTTGCATTTCAGTTTTACGTAAATTTGTGGCATAAATGTTTTGCATAATTATTTTACAGTATATGTGGAATACAGTATATGTGGAATAACAAATATGGATGTGTTAATTAAAATATTTGTAAGTAGTAATACATGTTCGTAATGATAAAGCAATAAAATTATAAAAATTTATAATAAAAACACTGATTTTTTGCGAATAACGTTTCCAGATTTTTTTTTTAATATTATTGAAAATATTAATTTCAATCAAATAATATTTAAAATTATTATATAAAAAAAAATCGTTATAAAAATGTTTCTTATATTTCTTGTAGTTCTTATCCTATACCAGCAAATAAAAATTGAATATGAATCTTACTAATCATAAATGTTAAATAATCTACAAAGTAGATGTTTAAATGTATTGTATTTTCAATGGCATGTATTTATTGAAATTTAATTGTATATCGTATGTAAAAAGTAAATAATTGTTTTTTAGCATAGCAATTTGTGTGAAAATAATTGAAGCGTCTGCAAAGACAAAACTAACTTTGTGTTCTTATTTGTAGTTAAATATGTTTATTTTTTATTGTTGATCCTTTTTATGTAACTACTCAAATATACTTGTTTTTCTTTATAATTAATTTTTATTTTTGTATTTCATTTAATTCTGATAATTATTTACCAAATTAGAACAGAATGGATGAAGCGCTTAGGAGTAGTTGGGCAAACTAAATATATGTTTGCCTGTAACAATCATTTTTCTGCCGAAATGATGTGTTCTGCACGAATTTCTAAATGCGCAATCTCGGACGTTAATTTAGATTTAAGTTATATTAGTAATTTAAATAAAAATGTAATTAACAACGAAAGTAATGTGGAAAATGAAAAGCAAAATCACCTCTCTAGCATAGGAGTTAGTAAAACCTTTGATAGGAGTGAAATTTCTGTTTGTGGAAGAGAGGTCCAAACAGACAATAGTCTTTCTGAAGCAACTCCCAGAAAAAGAAAACTTAACGAAAAATATTCAGAAATTTTAATAAAATTAAAAAATTTAGAGAAGGTAGTTGAAGAAAAAAATGAAATTATTAAAAGTAAAGAAGTAAAAATTAGGGAAAAAAATGAAAGTTTAGAAAAAATTAAAGAAGAGAACAAAGAGTTGCTTTTAAAATGTAATACTATTGAAAGTGTTACAAGCAATTTAGATGAGAGTTTGATAGATGAGCTTTGTAGCAAGCTTCCACAAAATATGCAGGTATGTGTAAGAAATTGTTTTCGAAACAGTAATCGTCATTCACATGGGTATCGCTATGATTCTAAGTTGAAAACAATAGCATTAGGAGTTTATTTTCTTTCACCCCTAACTTACAGACATTTACGCGTAAGTTTTAATTGACCATCAGAACGAACCTTACGAGAGTTCGCCACAAGTTGGCCCAAGTCTCCAGGCTGCACGCATAGTAGTATTAAAGCTTTGGAGTTACGAAGTCGTGGCTTCTCATACGAACAAAGATTCGTTTCTGTATCCTGCGATGAAATGTCTTTGAAAGGTCACCTTCAGTATGACAGACATAATGACAAAATAGTTGGGCTTGAAGTTTTTGGTGGTGAAGATCGTACTTGCAAAATTGCAAGTACTGTCTTGACTTTCATGGTACAAGGAATCGCTGGAGTAAGATGGTCTCAGCATCTTGCATACGTTTTTGTAAATGGAAGTTGCAAGGGTGAAGTTCTGAAAATGTATGTTATTGAAGTAATTCAACAACTTCAGGGCATTAATCTTTACCCATGCCATTTCGTTTGTGATCAGGGTAGAAACAATATTAAATTAGCTAAGTTATTAGAAGTAGATGTGCATCACCCTTTTTTCAATGTCAATGATGAAAAGATATTCTTTTTTTATGATGCACCCCATTTGATAAAAAGTACCAGGAATTGTTTAGAAAATAGCAGTAATAATGTTATATTTAATAATTGTAAAGTAAGTTGGGGAGATATTGTTCATTTTTTTAATATTGATTCAAAATCAACTATTCGTTGTGCGCCTCACTTGACAAATGCACATATTAGGCTCAATTCTTTTCAAAAAATACGTGTGAGATTTGCTTCTCAAGTATTTAGCAACACAGTTGCATCAGGAATGAGAGCATTGTGTAAATCAGGTTTAATTGATTCAAGTAATACGAGTTCTGTTAACACTGCTGAATTTGTTCTGTTTTTTAATAATCTTTTTGATGTATTCAATTCAAGCAGCATCAGTAGCTTAGGACTTAAAAAAGGCTTTTGCGGATCAATTGAACAATTGCATTTTCTGCAAAAAGCCGAAATTCTTCTCAAATCCATTAGATTTGAAGA